ATGTGGTAATTAATTGGTTTTATGTTGAAATTGGTCATGGAATGGTGAGTGGAAAAGTTGTCCTAATGGCCATTTTGATGGTTTGTTGTTCATGCAAAAATGTTTATGAAGGTATTTGTTATGCAATATTCAATGCTTCATGAATAAATTTCATGTGTTTCATGGATAATTGATTTTAGCCTACATGCCTAATAAAGTTCATAGATCATGTATCATGTTAATGATTGTATTCACATCATGGTTTTAATCATGTTTCCAAAGACAAAATCAAGTGCATGAATTTTCAAGAAAATTCTAGGCATGTCCCAATCACAATCACAAGCTTAATCATGGCACACAAAGAGAATGATCAACTCTTTATGGGCATCACAATCACATGTTAATCATGGTTCACAATTGTGAATGTCACGAGGTCATAGGAGAAATGTCCGGTGCTTTTCATAGATATGATTTTCATGGATAGCCGAGAGATATATAAATATATTTGTTAGGGTACATTAGATCACAAAAGATATATTTTAAAATCATAAAAGTGTATTTTATTGCATCATGGATTACATGACATGCATATATGATTGCACTTGCGAGTGTAAGCTCATTAAGTTATCTTGTGATGTAGGTATTCGGGAATATATAAATACTCAAAATGAAGTTGTTGATGAGTTGGAAGGAAAGGTGCTACAAGAGCTTGTCAAAGTGTACTTGTGAAAATTAGTATATGTTTAACTCATTCCATATTAAATGATCTAAGTAACTTTGTTAATTTAGACCATGAATGAATGAGTTAATAAATGTTTCAAGATATTTACTTATTTGTTGGCTTGACGAGTAAATTGCTAATTAAATAAGAAATTAAGTTAATTAAATAAAATTAAAAGTCAAATTAATAAAGTATCGGTGATTGAAAATATTAAATGGTTTAATTAGTATAAGTTAATTAAATGGATAGGTCAAATTATAAAATAAATTAGTTTTCAAAAGATTAAGTGAATTGTTTATTTTTTCTAGAGACAAGGATTAAAATACAAAGGGTTTGATTAAATGAAAATTAGTTGACTTTAAAGAGTTTTGGGATAATTATTACGTAATATATTTTCAAATCCATATTCAAAAACATTATGTTTTCATAATCATTGTTTTCATAACTATATTTTTAGAAACATTGTTTATAACTTAATATGATTTATGAAGATTAAGTTAGTTTCTATTTTATACAAGTATGATTTGACTAAAAATATTTCATTAGGAGATCTCAAATTATATTTTCATAAGTTGAGTCTAAATAAAGATTATTAGTGAATTATCTCCGAAAGATTAATGAAATAAAATTGTAATTAGAGTTTAATGAATAAAATGATGGATCTAAACTTTTAAATTAAGAAATAAAAGGATGGATCTAAACTTTTAAATTACGAAAGTTCCGCTGTAAATGATAATTACTTTAAAATAGTAAATGTCATGAGACTTTGTGTTTTGCATTCATTGTACTTCGAATGTGAGGCACTCGTTGATAATACTCTCGATCGACTTTAAATCCTAGGTTGGAGGTGTTATATCGCTGATTTCCCTCTTTCAGTCCTTCAGTCGTGACCTACTACATCACCCACTCTAGACGAACCAATAGGTCTACGCACTCCTTCCCCGACCAAACGCATCGAGGACTCGCTGGAAGACGACCATACCTGGTGGCAGCAAGGATTGGGATTTTAGGGGCAGTCTTGTATTTTGCCAGGCACGTGTGGCCCTATTTTTTTCAGTTGTTGTTTTTGTTTTTCTACTTTTTTTTGCCCCCTTAATTCGTTCCCTAACCGAGAAAAGGAATATATAATGAAACCCACATGGCTGATTAAAGTAGAAAACGGCCCTTCAGGCTCACACGAAGATGCCCATTTAGTTAGCTAGGGAATTTTAATAAAGATCGAAAATCATTTTGATCTTAGATTTAGAGAATCGTTTTGAGCAAAGATGAGTGATTGTCGTATGTTGTGAATTCCATTCCATGAAGATCTTGTACTTTTATCTAGAAAAGATTATCGAGCATTATCGAGGAAGTTGTTAAGAACTTCCGTAGATTTAAAAAAAGATACACATCAACTGTATTGGATCTGAAAAGAGGGAGAGAAGTTTTAATTTTCCGCTTCTATTTTTAACCATATATAATCTGAAATTTCTCAACTTGGCTTTAAATTCAGGTCCTGAGAAAGAAAGAGACAGATGGAATCGCAAGTGAAGTACTTGGTACGAACAATAACTTAGGTAACTTGATCCATCCATGCATTTATGTGTCTTTGTGATGCGAGGAACTGACCTCGCAATGTTCTGCTTTATGCTCTACCGTAGTTATATATATCGATCCATCCACAAAAGAAAATTATATTCGTCCATATTGATCATATATTCTCAAGATCGATCCTCTGTTTCCTACTTCCAAGGTAATTACGAAAATATATATATGTGTGTGTGTGTTGCATTGCCCGTGAAAGTGAAATTCCCGGAAACATTCACTGATAGTAGTAGTTGGGAAAATCATTTACAAACGACCAAACAATATAAAAATTCTATATGATCAAATTATGAATGGTACATGTGGTTCTAAGATATATTTCATTATCAGAACCATTTAAATTACTGACAGATGCTGTTCATGATTAAATCACCGAGAGAATACTTCCGTTGCAAAATGTCCTGTTGCAAATTCATTGATTAATTAAAGATGATGTAACACAGTTTATATAAAAATTTTGCACCAAAAAATAAAACATAAAAATAAATAAACATTCTGAATTTCACGTTATAGTCCTTATTAACTTTACCTTTTTTGCATAAAATTTATACCGACGCCTCAAACCTTTGTGTGTTTTATTTAAGTCCACATCTAATTGAACAAAAAGGGAAAAAAAAACCTTGGCATTTATAGATTCTAACAAAAATGACAAAAATCACCAAAAACAAAACATGTTATTATTGCTTGATATAATCAGAGGCGTGCGATATCTTGCTGAGGTATACATGGGTAGAGTTAACTTGTAAAGATAAATGACAGGCTTTCTACATGTGGAAGTTGTCATGTATGCATGCATTATATGAAGCTACATGTCTAACAAAATATTTTGTGTATAAATTATTGTATTGATATAGTGAATGATCGATCATCATAAACCAGAACACTCGACGTAAATCACGTATTGTTAAAGTTTGATTTCATTCATCAAAAACTGTATGGAAAAGTTGAAGATATCATAAACCAGAAAACTGTACATAAGTGGCCCTTCTTTTTCTCATGAGCCGATCAAGCAATTATATTCCTGCTCAGGGGAGCTTTCTAGACAGAAGAACGTGGCAATATTTTATAGCTGTAGTTTTTGCATGATACCTTTCATCTGATATACAGAATTTGAACATTCTCATCAGATAAAGAGAAGAAAGGACGTGTCAGAAATATGATTCTAATTGCAGTAGAAAAGGTTGTACAACTGACAGAATTCTTCTACAGTGAGAGATCATGATCTCGAATTTTCAGGAATATCACCCTAGTAAATATGCTTTAAGAATCGTAGCTAGTTAGTGCTGTAATCAGCACACTATTTTTTCATGCTTAAATTTAACATGAAGTAAACCAAGATAATATAAACATTGCTAGCTCCATATTTTCCTATGCTTTAAGTGAAAGCTCCGCAACTGTTGAAATTGCTGACCGACCATACGTGCTGCCTAAATATAATATAGGAACTTTCTTTTCTTTTTCTTGATAAAAAGACGGGTATTAGTAATTAAAGAAGAAGGCAACAAATTAAATTGATGATGCTATTCATATATGATAAAGTAATATTTTGTACGCCTCCTCAATTGTTTGTAAGCACTAAGCAGGTGGTTCGTGCAGAGAATATCTGTGTGTGATTTGTCAAAGAAGATGATGTGGTCATGAAGTGGATCTTCAAGAAGCCATCTTCCTCTTGTACGGCCCTTACGTGGTTTTTGTGATCTTTCCGTGCTAATTAAAGGGTAGATAGATCACTTTTTGACAAGCATCTTCTCTTTCCAAATTTCTTCTTTTCGTTGTCCTTCTGTCAGCTTTCGGCTGTCTTGCATTGAACTTGTGGGAATCTTTACCTGGAAAAGAAAAGGAGTTAACAATTGGATAAACCCAAATGTCCTTTTCCACTTCAGCATATGCTCATAAAAAAAAAATAAGGTAGGAGAAATTCAAAGGTATTGGGCCTTTCTGGAATTGCAAAATGCCTAGAAATGGTTTCAAAATTTTGAAAATTGCATACAAAAATCTGTTACGGATGACTGGGTAGATGTTTGAAACGTCAGGATCATCAACGAGCTGCGGCATTAGCAGATGTTCCAAACATGAGGTTTTCACAATTAATTAAACCTAATGTTTAAAACATTGATTTCAAAGCCGTTTTTGGCAAAATTAACGCATTGTGCCTTTAATTTTTAATAAGATGTACAAGGCACTCAAGAAAACACCGAGAAATGACCGTCCATCATCAGTGCCAAATCACTTGGTCAATTAAGTCACTAAACCATTAAGGCTGGGGATGTTTAGTATTCTTTTGCGTAACTCAACTCTTCAAAGAAAATCCAAAAGGTCATAAAGATTACTGAGAGGGAATATTGGCTTATATCGGAGGTGAGGGATATAGTTAAAGTCACTTGGGAATCTATAATTTTCTTACCATTGTCGCATTTTGCATGTTAATCAATTTTCAGGATAGAAATTTCTTATTCGATTGGTAACATCAAGTAATCATCAAGTACATAGGGAATAAAATTGATTACAAATCTTAACATTTTATTCCCATTCAGTTGATATTCTATCATGAGGGGAAGAAATAAAGAATGCAAGCTACCCCTCCAAGTGGCTTCTATAAATAGACCATCCAAGGATGTTAAGCTCCTCATACCAAAAAATCCTTGAGATCTCTCATATATAGCAATTACTTCACAAGTCATAACATTCACTTTGCCAAATTCTATTCTTCGTAGATATGGATATGGTGAGAAGGTTGGTTGCTGACAGGCCAGTGGTGATATTTAGCAGGAGCACTTGTTACATGAGCCACTCCATTAAAACACTTATATCTAGCTTCGGGGCAAATCCTACAGTTTATGAGCTGGATCAAATTCCAAATGGGAAGCAAGTTGAAAAGGCATTAGTGCAGCAGCTAGGATGTCAGCCAAGTGTACCAGCTGTTTTCATAGGGCAAGAGTTTGTTGGTGGTGATAAGCAAGTGATGAGCTTACAAGTCAAGAATGAGCTAGCCCCATTGCTCAGGCAGGCAGGAGCTATATGGATTTGATCAAAGGTAGAAATAAGTAATATTTGCACTTGCTTATCGGTGGTACTGTTTGCTCGTGAAGAATAAGCTTGAATAAGTAGTCCTTTTTCTTTCAAAATTAAAAAAAAAAAATTGATAGACTTAAATGTCAATCATTATATGTGGCTTTAGATATTTTATAGAGCCTCTCGAATACCTGATCCTTTTTGGGCAGTCAGGATTAAATTGTTTCTCAGCTATTGTCTCTTATCTGTACTAAATAAAGAAGACTTATATCTTACTTAATTACATGATGTATTTGCAACATTGCTTGAGCACATTGGTATTAGTTGCCTTTAATTAAATTTCAGTAAATCAGTTGACAATTAATCCAATCCCTAAATAACAGCAGCAAACATAAAGTTTTTGTGTGCGTCAGGGAAGTGAAATAAAAGCGATAAATGAATGAGTTTCTTCTCTTTCAACCTGTTCTTAATTTTTGAGGATTTCTTTACCAACAAGAGGAAAGAGTTACAAGTCGCAGGTCTTTTTTTTCTGCAGGGCTTAAGTTTGTTTTCATTCTTCATTAAGCTCTGCATATTAATTTATTGTGAAAGTCCAATGTCATATATCTTTCTGGCAATTATGTTCCCGCCAAGCAAGAAATATTTCTTAGGGGAAATTAATGCATTTTCACTTAAAACTGTACGAGGAAGAGAAAAGGACGACTTAACGGGAAACTGCAAGAGGAAGAGAAAAGCATAAGTACTGAAGGGAAAGTACAAAAAATATTTAAGTCTTCTCTATTACCTAGCTTGGCTCCCATCTGTGTTATGGTGTTCTATCAATAATATGTTCTTCATAGTCTGTGTGTGTTTTGTAGGGTTAAAACTTTTGTGATGATAATAAATGGGTTTGGATTCAGTTGTATTCCATTATATCCATTATTAAAATCGATTTAATTTTTTTGAAAATTAAAATATGTATTATTTAATTTTTTTAGGTCCGGATGTTTTAAGAAAAATATTTGTTTATAACATAAAAAAAGTGTATCAAAGAACTTATTTCAACTCAAAAGATAATGCATCCTACCACTATTTTGTACTTAATTATTTAACAATATTTTAGGTCACCATTAATTAGTTTGTGTTTGATTATTTAATTTTAATAAAAGAGAATAAGAGTGATGAAATCTAAATTGGTAACAGTTTTGTAATTAAAATTGTGATACCAACTCAATTTAAAAGTTTAAATTATAGAATAAAATTCTTAAATTCAAAAATTTAAATTATTGAATAAAATTTTTAAATATAATTTATATTATTCTCTAACATAGGTCAACAAATTAACCGTACTCCTTAATTTTAATTAAAGGATTGTTCTATTTGCCTTAGTCCACATCTCTAAGACATTGTTCTATAATAGGAAAATAACACATTAATAACGCGGCTTATCAACAATTACATGAACCATATTCTACGGAAGGAAAAAAATACACACATTATTAGGGGTTTTGTTATTCACATAATATATATATATATAGTTAAAGTAGACTGAAAGAATTATACAATTAAAGTAGACGGAAATAGAAGATTAATTAGAATAAAACATTTTTTCTCTCATAGATGATATTATGGAGCAGGTTTGAAAAAAGATCTTACAAATAAATATAACAAAATAAGAATGTAAATTCGGAAAAAGAAGATTAATGGGAATAAAATATCTTGCTTTCGTGGATGATATTTAGAATGTTATTGATAATTACAACATATATAATATATGTTGATTTAAGTGTATAGTAAGATGCCTGTATCCACCTGAAGAATATGATCATGACATTGAAATTCATATTGTTGTCATGAGAAATCTTGTTAACTAGAGATTTAGGGAATAAATTATATCTCGATAAGAATATAGATCCTGTCATATAATTTGTTATCATCACTTCATATGGAATTTTCCAAGCAACTTCTTTCAAAATGTGAGTGCTTACAAAAAATAAATGAAGGTATGAAATTGAAGACAAGTAGGATTTTTTTGCTGATATGATATCTCAAGAACCTTAATCTAGCTAACCCATATCTGTGATCCCAGGAACCGTCTTCCCTCGTGTTTAGTTTTTTATTATACATATTCTATTTCTAGATGATTCGCCGAAGTTGACAATCTTGCTGAAATTTTATTCAGTTATACTTATCCTACTTGTCATTTTCCTGTCTGACATCGACATGATTAATGATAACTGGAAAAGCCCTAATAATTCAATCTGTAATTGTCCAATTTTGGTAATTTTAGGCTTATTAATGGTGATGACTGCAGGTTCTGTATTTACATTTATTGAGCATGCATCGCATATATGTTAAGAGAATAAGATGGAGCATGATGATCGTTATTTGTCAATTTAAACAGTTATGAAAGAGTTATGAACATGAATATATATATATTTTAATAGCTGAATTGAAGGTTAAAAAAAAATATTCAAGTGGCCCTGCTAGCTGATCTAGTCTTTGGTTTATCTCATGATCATGACAGTTATGCAAGCCGATGTTCCTCCATACTTTCTGTCAATTTTTCTTTCCGGGCAGCAGATATTGCTCGCCTGACAGGGGTAAATGGATATTTTGGATGTTAACCCTAGGAAAAGTAGAAGAGGAGCTGCATCACACATCTGATTCGAATTTGTGTAAATCCAAAAAGAAAATGACAAATGATTGAACTGTCTGTGTGAATAGAATTGTGCTTTGAATTCTCAAGATATTTTCACATGGGGAGAATCTTTTCCTCTATGAATTTTAAAATTATAAACACAATATTAACTGACATCACACTTGTGATGTGGTGAGCCATACATAATCAGTATTCCTGGAAATTATATTTTTGTATGGAGAATTCAAACCACTTTAGGTAAATCTATTTAACCCCACTTTTTGAAGTTCTATTCATGAAATCAAATAAGAACCATTCTATATTTAAACTTAAATCGCAATGCATGTGAGGAGTTAGAAACGTTGACATGAGAGTACTTTATTCTTATTTGCCCAAGGCGATTGCTTTGAACCAAATATTCTTGCTCTGAGTGGCATCCCTTTGTAGGCTATCTACCAGGATTCAGCATTTCAAACAAAGTAAATCCTCCAATGGCATTTCTTAATTAAGCAAGTGGCAGATGAGAATATGGACTAGAAAGTAAAAGTCACTTCCTGTAAATAATAACACGAGGGCGATGATATAGTAATGCATTATCATTAACCTTATGTTTTCTGATTGATGATCAGAATGTCTTCCTAGTATATCATTCCAGGTTCTGCAATGTGTAAAAATTGATAATGTGATGGCTCTACTGGGTACCTTGTTCTCCTTAGAGTAAATATGAACCAATACGTGGTTTTTGTTACAGAACCACGCAATTAACGGCAAGAGTACTGTCTTTCTAAAAGCATCAGTATTTTCGAGCTTTCGGTTTTCTTCAAATTGGACTTTTTGCGAATCTATCTATAGAGGAAAGTGTCCTATTCAAGTGGATAAACCCAATTCTTTATCCACCTCAGCAGATGCTCAAAGTAGATAGAACTGAAGCTTTATGATTTTCATTACCGCCAAGTTGAAGAGGTCTCCAATTCTCCATATCATGGCAAATGATCCACCGATCCAAAATATTACTAGTTTATAGGTGGAGGCCAAAAGGTTTCACATCTTAAACGTTTAATTAGTAATAGTAAATGTCAAGCAATTTATGTTTGTACAGCATATTGGACAGGATTAATCAAGATATGCATCATGCAAGTCCTGTCATTCGCGCAGAAAACCACATTTTGCTCGTATGCAAATTGATATTAAAAAATGCAGATAAGCAGGTATATATATATATCAAGTAATCATCAATTAGGCAACTGGGGAATCTGATGACACATCTTCTTAACAGTTTTTTTGTCAGTCCCTCATATTCCATCTTGCAGGAAACTCTGTGGAATCCAACCATCTTAAGTGGGCTGTATAAATAACCTCCATAGGTGTTTTAAAGAAATCCTTTTAGACTCTCAACAGTCTTCATCAATATTCACCTGCCGCATGACCTTTGAAAACTCTCAACAACCACTGCAAACTCTTTGAACCTGTTGGACTAAAAGTCCTTGTTGAACTTAATCGAACAAAAAAATACAGTAATGAAAGAAAGCAAGAATGGAGAAATATTGAATCACGGCAAACTCTGTAAAATCTTACTTTTTATTTCATTGCTTGGTCAACTTCTTAAATACATAAAAATATAACAAAATTTCAGAAATAAAAGCAATCATGTATAGACAAGTTTGCATGACTAAAAAACATCCTAAACCACTACCAGTAACTATTAGTAGCATTATTAACAGAAATTTAGAAACAGAACTCCTAAAAACTTGGTCAAAGATAACATGTGCTGCTGATGCAGCTTTGAATTCTTCTCTATAGCCCATGATCTGTTGTTGCAGCCCTCAAAACATGCTCTTCAGGCCACCTCACACTTTATCCCAAGTCTTGCAACCTTAATTCCACGTGTACAGTCACCTTTGTCGGCCTAGTCAGCATTTTGCAGCCATATAAACAACTCTGCCAATTTGCAGCTGCTGATGCACACCTTCAACACTCCTCCTTGCATCAGTTGGTGCAAATTCCAAGTTTATCTCTTACAAACTCAAACTCAAACTTACTTCTTGGAAGAGCCTTTGTGAATATATTTGCGAGCTGATTTTCAGTATTTCAATACTTCAAACACACAAAACCATCTTTCTGTATTTCTCTAAGAAAAAATAATTTAATATTAAAATGCTTTGTCTTTCCATGGAAGACAGGATTGTTAGAGATAGATATGGTTGCATGGTTGTCCACCATAGCCTCAGTACTTGTCACTTGCTCCAATTATAAATCAATCACCATTTTTCTTAACCACAAAGTCTGATTAACAATTGTTGTAGCTAGAGTAAATTTAGCTTCAGCTGTTGCTTGTGCAATAACCTCCTGCTTCTTAGAGCACTATGAAAATATGCCTGATCCAAGGCTAAAACAAT